CATGTTCAAATAGTTAGGAGCTTATTGACTTATTGAACTCAAACAGGGCCTCACGGAAGGATGTAGGAACATTAAGATGATTTGTGTTGATCTGAAAATTCACATGCAAACCAAATCACCTGTTCCAGGCCAAGAAATTAGGCAGGCAAAAAGTGTTTTCCTCACGCGGGACGGAATTCGCGGCTGCCGGGGCGCGAGCAAGCACAGAATTCAGCACGGTGAGGCGCACTTCCGGTGAAGCCCGAGAGCATCAAGAGCTTCAAGTGAAGATGCAGCGATAGCTATAGCTACCGCCGCCCTTGGTATCGCTCTGATTCTGGAATGTAGAGTTTCCCTGAGGGCCCATGCTGCCAGACGATGCTTATGTAAGCTGATGGTTGCAGCAACCGCCATTTCCCTCTCCCAAAAAGGGCGCGAGGTAGGCTGTCAAAGAGGATTTCTGGACGGCACGCCTTCAAAGTTAAATGGGACAGAACGCCGCGCGGAGTCCGGAGCCCCATGGATTGAACAACCTTGGTCTCCCTGTTCGAGTTAGGGAAGTGTAGGCACCAACCCGGGCTTTAGGGTTTAGGGTTTAGGGTTTAGGGTTTAGGGTTTAGGGTTTAGGGTTTAGGGTTTAGGGTTTAGGGTTTAGGGTTTAGGGTTTAGGGTTTAGGGTTTAGGGTTTAGGGTTTAGGGTTTAGGGTTTAGGTAGGGTTTAGGGTTTAGTTCAGCCCGGTAGGATCCCAGAGGGCTTTGGTCTCAACCGGTCGTGTGCGCAAGCGCAGCGAGGAGCTCAGCTCCATTTTCAGCTCCAGTTTTGGAAGATGAAGACCTGCGAATCGGCCCAAACCCTGAACCCTAAGCCCTAAGCCCTCAACCCTAAACCCTAAACCCTAGACCCTAAACCCTAAACCCTAAACCACACAACCCTAAACCACACAAGCCTCATTTCTACACGTCGAAGTCGGACAGCCCAAGATCTGACCAGAACTCCAAAACTAGCAGGCAGGCTTAGGGCGCCTGAGGATGTGGTGGCTGTTCTACATGAAGACACCCCCCCCCCACCTTGCAATAGGGCTCCTGAGCAAGGACCTCCCGAAAGGTACGCTCTAAACCCCCATGTCGGGTGCAGGGCGCATGCTTGGGTGCTTCCAGCCCCATGGAGCCCCGCCCCGCGTAAGCCTGAATAACCCAGCAAGCAGCGGAATGCAGAACCGACCGACTCGCAGGAAATTGTCAGCAATACATTGGGGGTCTTCCTGAGACAGCACTGGCTTGTCAGAAATCATTGTCAATGAGAAGCTGCAGGTATAATCCAGAACAGCAGACGCCATCTCGAATGGCCCCATCGTTGATCTCGAGGTTGGACCACTTGCTGGTCCTCCCTCCCACTGCTTATGGAGCTCTTCAAATCTACTATTTGCTGAAGAACTCCGAAAAAAGGGGGGGGTTCGTAAGCAAAGGGTAGCCATGCTTTTGGAGCTCTTAAATACGTCAGGCTGGCCTTTGGCCGGCCTGACTACGTGGCTTCATTCGCCTCACAATCCGCGAACGGCTTATGGACCGGCTCCAGGGGCTTAAAAACCACATCCCACGTTGCATCCTGCCAGTAGTACAAGGCAGAGGGTTTAGGGTTCAGGGTTCAGGGTTTAGGGTTCAGGGTTCAGGGTTCAGGGTTCAGGGTTCAGGGGTCAGGGTTAGGGGTTAGGGGTTTAGGGTTTAGGGTTTAGGGTTCAGGGTTGAGGGTTGAGGGTTGAGGGTTTAGGGTTTAGGGTTTAGGGTTTAGGGTTTAGGGGTTAGGGTTTAAGGTTTAGGGTTTAGGGTTTAGGGTTTAGGGTTCAGGGCTTAGGGTTTAGGGTTTTGGGTTTAGGGTTTAAGATTTAGGGTTTAGGGGAACTGTTGAAGACGACATCGAAATGCACGAGCTTAGCTTAGCCGAGAGTTGTGGTTTACGGCTGGGCGTGTTCAACATTGAAGGAGACAGGGAGAGGTGCATCGCTGCAAGCGAAAGACTAGTAGAGGTCGGAGACGTAATGGTTGATGATGCTCTAATGATGCCAACGATGCACGCTTGTGACGATGTTGCCGACTGAAGCTTGGCAAGGCACAGAACGTGGTCGAGGAGTAAAGAAATGGAGCGGGAACCTCTTGGGAGCACGAGGGAAGATGGTGATCACTGACGATCGATGATGATGCCTACGCGTGTATTCATTGTATTGAGACGTGCTGCGTCGCTTCGGGAAACCCAGGCGACGAATCTGTCGGAGAGTCAGACGCACACTGATGCCGCACATGCAACTGCCAGCAAAAACACCTGCCAAAGAGATGACTGGCACTCTGACTTCTGGGTGGGGAAGCCCTGGAGTCACCTGATGTTCTTCTTCAGGGCAAGTCTGAGGCCTCCATTCCCATGAAACGTTAGGCTACAGCACTTCGGGGCTGGAGGCTCCTTCGCCTAAGTGGGGGAGTCCCGATGGCAATGGAGATTTGACCTCCAAGCTCTCAACCCTACTGTTCCGTAAGTCTGCATTCTCGACCTGTTCACGCCAAGCAAACGGCCTGAAATGCCTGTAGGAAACGGCGGCACCAGCTCGGTGGGTACATCCTTGGGTGGGTACAAGCAGGTCTCAGCAAACGACCCCGTATTGGGGATTTGGGGATTTTGGGGGTCGAGCCTCTTTTGGGGTCCGATCCAGCAAAGGGCAGAAGCACACTCGGTGCCGAAGCTTGAGCAGAATGCACACCAAGCGGCCGGTAGGACATACGTGCAACCATGCACCATCGCTCGTGGTGCTCTTCCTGAACAAACAAGCCCGTCCCCTAGCTGTCGGGTTACCAGTAGACCCATGAAAAAAAGAAGGTGCAAGAGCCTTCTTTACAGGTCAAGACGGTCTTCAAGTCTTCACATGGCAGATCACGAGGAGAGCCATGTGCCTGCACTGCCGGGCTCTTGTCTCACTGGCAAGCCCAGCCGCTCAGGTTCCTAGCCTGGCGACCATGACAAAAGAATTTTGCGAAACTTGGGAGGCACGATGTACTGTCAAGCCAGGTGAGGGAGTACGGCCCATCATGCACTTCTCAGAACTTGACAACCCATATCCGGAAACTCGAGCTTGAGGCCCAAGGTTGCATGCAAGGCTCCCACATGTCGAACTGTAAGGGAACTCGCAGCCATTTGCCTCTCTTGCAGGAATACTGGACAGGATCTTGCAAGAGGCTTCTCTCGACTGAACGCACTACTGAGGAGCGAATTCCGGATGCGGAGCGCTTACACCCCTGGAGACTCAAAAACCCTAAGCCACACAACCGCAGGGAATATTGACACATGGGCCACATGGGGTTTTGGGTTTAGGTCAGGGTTTTGGGTGCTCTTAGGGCTGGGATGCAGCACCCAGCTTTCTTTGTGCCACAGGTCCGCTACTTGCAAAGGTGTACGGTTTTGGGTTTGGGGGCTGTAGAGTTTCACGCGTCTAAGCAACAGCCTCCCACGCCAAAAAAAGAACACAAAAACGTGGATGCTGTGTATGTGTGTATGTGTGTCTCTGAGAAAAAATGGTGCCCCCAAAATCCTCCATGAAACCCCAAACCCTAAATCGGGACGTGATGCTGGAAAAGTCGAACCAGGGCTGCGTCCACAGGGCCTCCGGCACCTAAACAGGGAAGAGCGTGGGTCGGAAACTGAGGCCACCTTAGCCAAAAAAGCGCTTAAGGAGTGCCTACTATAGAGCCTTAATAATTAGAAGAGGGCTTTTCGGGGTTATAGGGACCATCAGGCGGCACTAGTAGCAATTCTTCCGGACCCGACATTGGTCAGGGTGGAACCATGTTCTGCAGTGTCTTTGGACAATGCTGAGAGTAGTGATCCAGCAAAACGTAATTGTACAAAAGCACAGCACAACAAGGACCGCTGTTCTGACTTGCAAACGGCATTCTTCACGACGCTCGTCGCCGAACTTTGGGGGGCAGGTTCAGCATCGGATCCCGGCTCTTGGGGCCAAAATCCCGAAGGCACTTCACCGCTTCTAGGGCTTTTAGGGTTCAGGGTTTAGAGTTTAGGGTTTAGGGTTTAGAGTTTAGGGTGTAGGGTTTAGGGGTTTAGGTTTCGGGGTGTCAGATCTGTAGCCCCTACAGCCCTGATTCCCCAAACCGCATTCCATCGACCTGGCGAAAGCCAGCTGCATACCGCCGGTCATCAATAAAGTCGAAGTTCAGCAAGATCTGCTCCGGCTTTCCTTGGCTGTTGGCATCAGGTTTAGAGCCTAACCTGTCGGGGAGGAATGAAAGCTAGTGCAGTTGCTCGGGAAGCCACAGGAGAACAGCATTGACAGAACAGGTAGTCAGACTTGCACTTGACGACCCAGCACACGGCCGGTCCACCCCCGAGCATCGCCACGAGTGTACATCCATTTCTTTTATCTTTTACTGCGCGGCCTGTCATTGATCTCTTTTATGTGCCCGCGAGCGAAGAATAATAGAGTATGAAGATAGTCATATGTAATTCCAGTGAATGCAGTGAGCGAAACATCTTTCGTGGCGCTCATTTCGTACCTGCATTCGCTTGATATAATATAAATACTGTACCTTTAGTCGTATTCTTGCTTGCTGTACACCCTATCTATACAGGGCGGCAACAGTCAGCAAACCCTAGACGCATGTAGTACTGAAGGGGTGACTCTCATGAGTCTGTCCTAGATCCAGAGGTGAAAATGATAAAGGTTCTGTAGTGCGTTAACAGGGTCTCATGGGCGGAGAGATGAACCAATAAGTGTAAAAATAACCCCGGCGGCTACTTAAAACCTGCTTCCGGGACTTAAGTATTATCCATGACCCTCCAAGTAACTCCCCACTGTAACCTTACGTTGGAGCCAGCCGAGAGGCTGCGGGAGTCGTAGACAGTCCAGCGCCGCATTCTCAGGATGTCTGTGACTTGCAGCAAAACGCCCAGAATCCTTAGAGGGGTTCGGGGTTTAGGGTTTAGGGATTAGGGATTAGGGTTTAGGCTTTTAAGCTTTAGGCTGTAGGCTTGAGGCTTGAGGCTTGAGGCTTGAGGCTTGAGGCTTGAGGCTTGAGGCTTGAGGCTTGAGGCTTGAGGCTTTAGGCTTTAGGCTTTAGGCTTTAGGCTTTAGGCTTTAAGCTTTAGGCTTTAGGCTTTAGGCTGTAGACTTTAGGCTTTAGACTTTAGGGACAGGGACAGCAAGGAACCTTGCAAACATATTCTCCATGTGCTACCAGGATAATTACACTGTTGGTAGGGGCTTGCAGGGGCTTAAGTGACTCACAGCACGCAGGTTTTGTCCAAAACTAGGGGTTGTTTTTGGGGATTCCTTGATAGGGATTAGAAAGGAGGAACCACAAACTTTGGAAGCCCCCCACTCCTGTCAGACTCGAGAAGAGGGAAGTGAAGGGGGCTATAGGGATATAGGGACGTAAAGGAAGGCTACCTCCTGGTCACGGCTCGTGCTGTCGGCCAGGTCCGTTGGCACGCAGATGTCACGCCAATCCGCAAAGAGACCCGCCATTCCTAAGAGGAATTGCGCACATGGTCAGAAGGGCTAGCTTGACCAGGTTTTCATGCTTTGCAACGAAGTGCCATGCTCAAAGCGTGGATGAACAAACGCCGCGAAGCGTGTCCTACTGCCAACTGCGCTGCAGCCATCAAACAGAACCAAGCAGCCAGCTTCCAGGCCATCTCGCATAGGGACCTAAACTTGCTGGCAGGCGAAGGGCGTTTCTGTATCTGAGGCTTACAAGAACTCACCGAGTTCATCTTCATTTTGATGGGTTTTTGCATCGAAACACCACCAGGCAGCACAACACTTTGGTGTTGCGTTGTAGGACCTAAGCCTCACTGGACCTCAACGTTCATGTCGGTAGAAAGCACCCTCAACTCTTAATAATCACAATAACAATAATACTAACAATAGTAATAACAATAAAAAGAATAACAATAATAAGAACAATAATAATAACAATAATAACAATAATAACATTAATATTAATATGAATACTAATATTAATAATAATAATTATAGTAATAATCATCATAATAATAATAATAGTACTAATAATAATCATAATAATAAGAATAATAATAATAATAATAGTAATGGTGATGGTCTATGATACTATTCCTAATCCAGGGGACCCCGAACTCTGTTGTTATTGCCCGCCAACAGCTTGACCTCCGCGCCTGGAAGCCTCATTGCTGAACTGGCCCGAAACACCTGACGCTAAAACTGAAAACCTGGTGCAAGCCCTAAAATCCTCTAAGGCCTTAAACCCTAAACCCTAAAACCTAAACCCTAAAGCCTGAAACCCTAAACCCTAAACCCTAGTCCCTAAACCCTAAACCGCAGCTCTAAGCCGTGCAGGTCCCGGGGGCATACATCGTCAGGTCCACCTCCGAGCAAGCGCTGGCTCGAGCTTTGGCCACCGAAACCAAGGCCAGGAAGAGGTAGTTCCTGAACTTGGGTTTTGGGCCTTTGGGGTTGAAAGTTGAGGGCTTAGGCTTATAAGTTAACCATATGTTTATACATAATGTATACACACCTACATACATGGATATATGTTTGATTTGGGATCGACACACTGCCACAGTGCAGTGCCACTGGTTGAGGGCCCCAGCGCAGCAAACTACACGCCGAACCGCTTTGGCACAGTCGAAACCTCCGCACAAGTTTTGGGGGGTTTACGATATTAGGGGGGGGTACCTTATTGGGGTCCTCATTCAAAGGGGATCCTACTACGCAACCCCCATTTGGCTGCGGAGGCATCCCTGCAAACTTTGCGAAGATCACGCACGACCAGTTTCGGGTTCTGGGTTTCGGGCTCCTATGAATACCCTCTGCTTGCACACGCTGGCTCACTCCAAACCGTGCATTTATGCTCACGCCATTGGGAACGTGTGGACTGCGAGCTCCCAAACACTTGTGCGTCACTTTTCCCCTTGCATTTGACAATGGAAGTTGAATCTGACACGCTGGTGACGTGGGCGTGTTATGGGGCATTTTAGCCTTCAGCATAGTACCAAAACTTGGGTCCCGAAAGCAAGACTTCAGCAGCTATAATCTCATTTCCGAAAGAGCACAGATGTGGCTTCTAAAGGAAGGTCGCTTTTGGATGCTGTTGATCCGGAAGTCTCCTATACAACAGATACCCTATTTTAAGGATTGACACTGTACATCGAAACCCAAAGAAGAGCCCATCTCTTAATTCCCTCTCCAGTCTGATCTTGATATATCCTGTCGCAAGAAGAGCACATCTCTCAAGGCACGCATACCCACTCCCGAGCTCCCCCCCCCACTTTCCCCCCCCCCTCCCGCAGGAAAGGAAGCCTGAAAGTGCAAACCGAGCTTAAGGCACGTTGCGTGTCACACAGGTCCGAGGCACACCGGCACGGTGTAACTCTGGGCCACTGCCTCGTCGCGTACAACTGCCCATCTCCAATGGAGTTTGGGGACCTAGCTGCAACACCCCAACTGCGAAGGTCTCCTACAACCAGGGTTCGGGGTTTAGGGAAACCGGATGCTTGGAAGGTGGTATGGCATGGTGCATGGTGCCTCCATACCCTTGGTAGCCAACCGGTCTCCCACCCTAAACCCTAAACCCTAAACCCTAAACCCTAAACTGCATGGCCCACCTTGAGAACCGCCAGGGTGCGTCCTGCGCGCAGGGGCACAGCGTCGGAAGCGGTGGCTCTTCAGTGGCTCATGCGGGACCTCTACATCAGGGTCGAAGTCCTCAACTACGCGCTTCTTCAAGAAAGCTGCAGCCTTCGTAGGAGGGGTGTGGGATTCTACGGAATCCTTTCGTCCTTCAAGCAGATTCGGCTCAAGGCTTTCAAATTCTACACCTTTAGCCTAAGCCCTGAGCTTGAACCTCACTTTCACTGATGCTTGTTCACTTTAAGGGTCCAGGTCCCTCACATCAGCAAAAAGGTTCATTTCAGAACAAGCGACCTAGGCATCGAAGCAACTCAGGCGAGCTTTCACAGCAAGTCTTCAAACCACGAGTGCAATGCCCAACCCGACCCTATACCCCAAACCCTGATGTCAAAGTGCACTTAAGCGGGTGTCAGCCGTGAAATACATATCCAATGGAATTTGGCCAAAAAGTCTGCTTGAAGAACGGCTTCTAATATGCTAGGTTGCCCAGAGCCTGATATCCTACTTTGAGCCCGGTCGTAGTCGAAAAGGGGGTGTTAAAGCCCGGAAGCCCCCCAAGATTTATTATTGCGAAAACTTTCCCCAAACCCTAAAGCCCCAGATCCCAAGCCAAGCCCTGTCAAGACTTTCGAGATTCTGAAGAGGAACGGAAAACAGACCTTGAACCCGCAAACCCTGAACCCTAAACCCCAAACCCTAAACCCTGAACCCCTAAACCCTAAACTGGCCACAAACCCTCAACCTTGAACCCCTCAACCCTAAACCCTACACACCCCAAACCTTGAACCCTTTAAACCCTGAACCCTAAACCCAAAACCCTAAACCCGTCCGTCCTTGGATCACGAAGCCGCAAGTGTAGCCCTTGGAGGTGACGCCCCAAAGATTCCTGTTGGGGGGGGAGGGGGTTGAAACAAAGCATGCAAAGCACGCCGCTCAGGGTTGGTGGGGCGGGGGGTGGGGGGCTGGGCTCCATGTTTCGGGGTTGATGGCTTTGGGGCAACCCGAAGTCGCCTAAAGCCTTCAAGCGCATGAGCCTCAACCCGAAAATCCTAAACCCACATGTAGGGTTTATAGGGCTTAGGGCTTAGGGCTTAGGGCTTAGGGCTTAGGGCTTAGGGCTTAGGGCTTAGGGTTTAGGGCTTAGGGTTCACATCCCAGAGGTTGTTTTGCTGGAAAAAGAATGCTGCCCCGACGCCCACGAAGCGAGTGCCGCATAGGGTCGTCAGATTGGAAGAGCGCCTCCTCGGAGCTGCGGTTTAGGGTTTAGGTTTAGGGTTTAGGGTTTAGGGTTTAGGGTTTAGGGTTTAAGGTTTAGGGGCTAGGGGTTAGGGTTTAGGGTTTAGGGTTCAGCCAGCAGAAGTTAGGACATTGGGATGTTCCCGCTTTTCCGAAGAGCCCTTGAGAGGGATTATCGTACCCCCTATTATGATCCCTATTAAGACTGCTCGAAAAAGTGTGAACATCCCAAGTTGGGACTTATGGTTAGTTTTCTATATTATAATCCCTTACTGGGTACCCTACATGAGAGGTGTCGCCTCAGAATAAGGACCCCGAAAGGGACCACTTCTCTAGAACACAGGCACAAACAACAAGTGCACCTTTGGAATTGAGGCAGCGTTTTCTCCCAAAGTTGCCATTGTGATACCTGCAGTCGTAGCAGTAGTTGCATTTAATATCAAGTGTTCCGTTTTTACAAAATTGAGTAGCATTACACAATGTACTTTAAAACATATTATCACATTTGGAATGAAATGTCATATTCTCTGATTATATGTAAAGACAATTTACACAAAAACTGGCGATAAAGATATGACTAGCCTGTATGATGGTACTAAAGTTTTAGATGTGACAATGTAATTCAAACATTCACGCCGTATAGCACCGCGCCTCCGAACAAGCTTGGGTTCGATGCGAGTTCGATGACATCGAGCCCGGACCTTCTTGAGCAGCTGTGCCGAGGGGGCGCGCCAGAGGCCGTCTGCGGTGCGGCCGGCGTCCTGTCCGAGGACGCACTGCCCCGAGCTACTCGAACCAACGCGCGTCCTTCTCCAAGCTGAATGACGCAACGTCCGTCATCTGGACAGCGAGGAGGACTCGGGATTGGCCGGGCCGTGCCTCAGGATGCAACTCGACAAGCATGCGCAGACATTAGTTCAGCGATGCTCAACGACTGGGAGGTATCGAACTAGAGAGCCCGACTCTTGACACCGCGAAGTAGAAGGCCACGAGGATGCTCTTCGAGTAGGAGAGCCACGGGCTTGCCTGACCGTTAGCGCTTGCGGGCGCTCTTGCTGCGTACGGGGGGCCATGACTGTTGGCGCTGCCTGGACCTTCGTGCCGATGTGCTCGGCAATGGTGACGTCCCCCTCGTCACCTGTCCGTTATAACTGCTCTATATATATATATATATATATATATATATATATATATATATATCTGTAAACCAGTATGAACGACAGTAAGCCCTCGCTCAACATTGTCACACAGCTCGGCGAGTGCCTTTCGCCAAGCGGCAGAGCTGGTAGGAGTGGTCCCCACGCCAAATGAGGCCTTGCGAGCGCACGCCCCGCGCTATATCCTAGTTCCTAAACGCTCATCTTGGGGCATCGACCGGTGGCAAGCTCCATGGTCTCTCTCTCCTCGACCTTCGCCATGCGTTCCTGCGGCAGTTTGTCGCGAAGGCGGGTGCAGCTAGTGACGAACCTGTGGGCTATACCTCTAATTCTGCCTTTTGTACTGCTCTCCTTCAGGGGCTCTCCGCGCATGGCGCGATAGAGTTCCTGCGCGCGCCATCTAGATCGGGACCGCACACGTGCCGCTCACGGTCGAGCCTGTAGACGCACACAGGAGGCGTAAGCCCCCCAACGGCGGCGTACCTAGAGCAGCCGAGCTACACGAGAAACTCACATGAAGCGAGGATATCCTGCTTCGAAATCTATGCTTTTCCCGCTTTTCCCCTCGACAACAGTTGCCGGCTGCACCTTCTCTTGCACCTCCTCCCATGTCTCGCCCGCATTGGCGAGGGAGAGAGCGTATTTCAAGGCCTCAGGGCACACTGACTGGAAGATATCAGCGCCAGAGACGAAGCGGCTCTGAGCAAGCTGCAAGTTCGACGCACGCCATTCCTGAAACAGCGCACGGGCGGCGAGCGACTGAAAGACAAGGCGTACGGGCGCGCGGCGCCCTGCGACGTCACGCGTGCAATTCTGGGCCCGCAACGAACACAACGGGAGAGGCGGAGACAGCGGATCAAGATCTTGAGTGGAAAGAAGCTCTCACGACGAGGCTGCAACCGTGTGAAACTTGTTAAAAATCTCAAATTCGTATAGCTCTTGCTTCGGGATGCTAGCTCTTACGGTTACGTGTTAAAAGACACTCCCCCTGCGCGCAGCAGCCTGACGTGTTTTCTCGGAAGAACGGAGGTCCGCTGGCCGGCGCTCACACGGCAGCCGGAACCTCAAGGATCCAAGCTTACGGCGCGAGATGATCGAGATAATAAGCGAAGCCCGAGGCAGAGCTCGTTCATTCGGTCTTAATCCTTTCTCGGGAGCGCGCCAGGTCGCAGCTGAGGTAGATCTCACTCTGGCGCGGCTCTTGCTCCCCAAGCCTCGACTGAACTGACTTCATTCCGCATGATCCGGCTCCTTGCTTGCTTACGCCACGGCTAGCTTTCTGGATTGAGCTGCCGTCCTGTCTCCTGCCAAAGTCTGCGGCCAAGGCCTTACGCCGTGCTCGCAGCGCCAATTTGCTAGCTGAAACAAATCGACTGTTGCTCAGCCTCGCACGAGGAAGTCCCGGCAGTGCGGGAGCGCCGTCAACGTCCATTTGTTGGACATACGACGGGCCCAGTCCACGTCCGCCGCCGTGACGCGCAGCTGCTGCAAGCTTGACGGCTTGCCAAACAACAGCTGGGTTGCGTGCCACAAAGCCACGCCGGAAGTCGGTACCGCGACGAGAAGACGCTCCTTCGCCCCGGCCGTGTACTTTCGAGCCTAGCAAGGGGTGTTGCTGAAGCGAAACGCCACCGGGCGCGCAACCCCGCCCGGCCTTTTGGAGCTGCCATCCGGTCGGCGGCCGCCGCTTGCCCGTTATACTGAGCCCGGCGTCCTGAAGAACAGCCTATAATGCATCGGTTGGCTCAACGAGCCTGAGCTGGTAGAGGTTCCTCGGTGAGTGTGAAAGTCGCGTGCTCAGCCGGGTCGATTGCAGCCATGACGCGGACATCGCCGGGCGCGGCCTGCGAGAAATCGCTCAACTTTCCACGCAGCGCAGGAAGGGGTGCGCGTGATGGGCCTTGGCAAAGGCGAACCAGAGCGCAACCAACACGTCCGAGGTGAAGGACAGCCATGGCGAAGCCTAGCAGTGGATTCAGTCGGCGCAGGAGCAACTCGATCGCCGACGCCTGGGCCTGCTTCGGGTTGTCGGCGATGCGCTCGGCCACCGTGATGTCATCATCGCCTGCTTTAAGCGAGACTGAGACGCGACCCCTTGACCGCTAATTAGCGCTCCTGCAACATCATACGTCAGCCTTTGCTCACGCGACAGTGCTCGAGGGTGTCAGCGCTGCGCCAAAGCAAGCCTGGAGACAGTGCAGGAGGTCTAAACGATAAGCGTACACACTGCACAGGCACCGTTGATGAATTAACTTGCGCAAATAGGATTCTAATTATCTTTCTGGCCTGAAGTAGAATATACAGAAAGTAAATATTAAGAAAACACAAAATCGGGGATGTGATATTGGAAGTATTATTGCAACCAGATAGAAAATTGCGCAGATACAATATTGATGAAAGTCAAAATACAACTGTATTATTGGGAAATTACACGCGGATGAAAATTAGAAAGTCGTATTTTACCTGGCGGTGATATTATTGTTTCATCAGTTCATAATTGTAGAGCTTTAGAAAGCAGAAAGTATGATAGTACTCTTTTTCACAGGACAACAAATACATAGAAATACTTGTTGAAAAGTTGACGAATACATTTTCAGCTTTTGTATTACATCGGCAAGATATATGGCACATACGAATGGTACTAAAGAATGTTTTAACTGAATTGTAATAATGTTTCTGATACATAATATTGCAATACATATACATATACATATATACATATATGAATAATCAGAGTGTTCTAGTAAAAGTTTATCAAGAAGTAAGTGTCCATTGTATTCATTTAACAGGATTCGATGGTACTTATATAGATAAAATGTATCACATAAAACTCATAAAACGCATCAAAAAGTTATCCAATTGAAAGTTTTGCTGCAACTACAAGTTCTCTTATATCAACAGGACATTACGTAAAAACAGCTATAAACAAAATCCTGAACAGTTTGATTGTTGAAAACTCATCTGATGATGCCATTAGATAAGAAATAGTAATAATAAACGACGCTAAGAAATATTGAGTCACCAACTCATCTTGAAAACATTATGTGGGGTTAGTAATGTGTTATGGAATTTTGTATGATGAAGATACAACATTGAAAGAAACATGTAATGAGGATGCGGGTAACTTCAGTCTTAACCTACTACAAAAACTGATAAAACTTGGTTCATGAAAAGATAACAAGCCTAAAGATGCTAAAAAAAGAGAAGGTGTTTGACTTTTAGAAAACACTACAACATCAACAGACAAAATTAAAAAAATCACAATATGACACTTTAAAAACATTAAGAAACAGATTATATTCTTCCTTGTTCATCAAAACCAAGGTGAACCAATACCCCCGCTTCACAAAATAGATAAATCACTTTCACCAGTTCCACCACCACCGTTACAAGTACAAAAATCAGCTTCATGACTACCATCAAGAATACCATGACTTCCACCAGTTCCACCACTAATTGTTATTATATCCAGGAAAATCATCAGTACAAAATGTACAGCGTAAGGGGCGTTGGGGAAAAGGGCATGCCAGGCTGGACACACCATAGAGAGTGAACAAAACGAGCTAATAGGTTTCTGTGCAGCGTTGCAGGTTGGCAAGCCCTGAACATTCTGCCAGATGCGAACTCCTAATTCCTACTGTGCGCATAATCTATTGACTCTTGCGCTTGTCTACTTATCTCAAGGAATTTGGAATATTAAACCATACTGGATCATGAATACCTGTTATAACTTCGACCCCGTGGAGGTCTACTATCAACTACAAACAACTAAGACAGGATAATCTTGCATATTTTTGTAATTCATTGAATATCCTTGAAGATGTTTCATTGGTATATCTTTTGATTGTC